CCCCCCTCTCACCTCTCCCCACAGGTATCTTCATTCCCTTTTCATGAGCAACACTCTACCTCGTCCTAGATTGCACCTCTGCCTTGTGTTCCCTCTAGCTCTTCCCCCAGCAATGCCAAACTCCTATTTGCCTGTCAAGCCTCAAATCATACCACCTCTTCCGGGAACATTTTAGACTACCCCAATCACACAGATTCCTGTAGAACTGTGTACACACCTCTCTAACAGCACTTAGGATACTAATGATAATAATGGCTAAACACGTACTGATCACTTACTAGTACGTATGTACTAGGCAGCAATTCTAAAACACTTTACAAAACTAACCTTCTTTAATTTTCACAGTCATTCCATGAAGAAAGTTCTTCATTCTACAGAGAATGCTACTGAGGTTCAGAGATTTAAGTAAGTTTTCAGGGCCACGGAGATATTAAGTGGCTGATGGGTGCCTAGACAAGTGCCTGGCACACAGTAGCTACTCAATAATTATTCACCTCACAAATGATTAAGTGAACAAATACAAAAATAATGACATTTCTGTCTCCTGTATGGAAAGTTCAAGTAAGAACTTCTTATTAGTCTTTCACACCACCTCCCCTGTTGAACACCTACTAATGTACAGGGCAAGGGAAATATATAACAAATAAATGAGCAAAATAAATAAATGAATGGATGAATGAATGAATAAGCAAGCCAGCCAATAAATGGAGTTCAAGTCCTGTCAGTGCCACCCACTAGCTTCAGACAAACAGCTTTAGCTTGCTGGGCCCAGTTTGTCACTTGTCAAATAGTGTGACTGTACACAGCATTCTCTCAAGTTCCTTCCCTCAAGGTACACTGCCCGCCAGTGTGGCTCACTGGTTGAGCATCAACCTATGAACCAGGAGGTCACAGTTTGATTCCTGGTCAGGGCACATGCCCAAGTTTCGGGCTCCAACTTCAGTAGGGGGCGTGTAGGAGGCAGCTGATCAATGTTCCTCTGTCATCATTGATTTTTCTCTCTCTCCCTCTCCCTTCCTCTCTTTGAAATCAATAAAAAAACATATTTTTTTAAAGGTACATATAAAATAAATGATCAGACTCCATGATTTTGTGGTTATGGTAACTCCCATACTAAATTACATATCGCATTTTCTTCTGGGTATTTTCCCTGGGAACATTACACAATTGGATGTGGCATTTGATCCAGGTACTGCCCTAATACAGAGCCAATAGCAGACCTTAAAGAGTACATTTGGCCTGATCCTTGGTTTATTCCAAGGTTCATATCCAAACAGATCACACCCAGGGAAAGAATTATTAAGTGACTGGCAAAATACTCATAAATAATAGATAATAACAAACAATGATCACAAGTTAGAGTATGCAACCAGCATCTAAGCCACTTTAGTGACCTTGCAGGTCCTTCTTCCTGTCCCTGGCACCTGAGGCCTTCTTCTCTAAACAGATCCTGGTCACCGATCTCCCCCCACGATCACCACCAGCACACACCCCCACACGCATGCACACTCACACACACTGCTGGCATGAAAGGAGCAGCACAGTGCTTAGCACACAGTAGGGACTGATACATGCTTACGAAATGCTAAAGCCCAGATCCACTCCAGATGGGGCTGAAATGTGTCCACTTCAGCGTAAGGTCAGCGTCCTGGCTGAATTTCGTTCATTCCCACTCTACCTGTGGCTAGTCAGGAGCTTGGCTGTTTGCCTGGGACCTGACACACCTGTGTCCCATGACGAGCCACATGCATGCTAATGCCAAGCATTTCTTGTTTGGCTAATTAACGCTCAGCCAAAGGGTCCCTGAAGAAGGCGTGTGAGCAAGACGGTGTTCTCATCGGAAGACGAGTAGGACCGTGTTCTGTGTTTTGCTTGACTCAGAGCGCACAGTATAAGTGCCAGGCTCTTAGAGCTGAGCACACCATCCATGTGAATCCATGATGGAAAGGGCCCCTACGGCAGCCGGATTGCAAGTAAACAGGCACTGCAAAGGACACCTGTTGTTTATGTCTCTCCCCTCTTGTCCTTGAGGACCTGCTCCTCCCACCTGTCAATCAAGTGATGCTTGAAAGGGCTGCCAAAGATAGTAAGTCAGGTCCCCTGGCTTTGGCTACAGTAACTGGCTCAGAGGTGAGCCTACAGCAGCCGTGGCCAAACTACGGCCTGCGGGCCGGATCCGGCCCGTTTGAAATAAATAAAGCTATTGAAAAAAAAAGACCGTACCCTTTTATGTAATGATGTTTACTTTGAATTTATATTAGTTCACACAAACACTCCATCCATGCTTTTGTTCTGGCCCTCCGGTCCAGTTTAAGAACCCATTGTGGCCCTCGAGTCAAAAAGTTTGCCCACCCCTGGCCTACAGGTATCCTTCCCTGGGACATTTTTCAATATTGAGCAGGAAGAGAAAGATTCTAGCCTTTTGTGTCACAGTGCTATAAAGATATGAACCAGAGCAGCGGTTCTCAACCTGTGGGTCGCGACCCCTTTGGCAGTCGAACGACCCTCTCACAGGGGTCGTCCAAGACCATCCTGCATATCAGATATTTACATTATGATTCATAACAGTAGCAACATTATAGTTATGAAGTAGCAACGAAAATAATTTTATGGTTGGGTCACAACATGAGGAACTGTATTTAAAGGGCCAGAAGGTTGAGAACCACTGAACTAGAGGCTACCAATATGGGAAAAATCTGTTTGCAGGATGGAGGAATGGAGCCAAAGCAAAACAAAACATCCGAAGATAGATGGAAGGAGAGGGGGTGGGATAGACTTGGAGTGTCTGGACCTTCCTGTTTATACGAATTACGGCTTTCCCTGTGTACGGCTTTAGGGTAGTTTGAGGTGGGTTTCTGAAATGTGCAGCTAAAGTGGCCTCACACAGTCACACTGTACTTAGAATTCATTTTCAAATGTATTTTCTACTCTTCAGGTAGTTTTTATGAGATGGGCTATCCCACATTTGTAATGTCTTTGTTCCTCCGCCTAAGAAAGGTGTAAAAATTCCTGGGCAAGAATCACTCGTACTTAGCCTCACTCGCTGAAGATTAGTTCTTCCTCTTTGTATCGCAGGCACCAGTGGTGACCTGCCAACCACTGGATGTGAGGACTCTTCTGTTTCAAGCCACCAAAGCTTGTAAAATAGGGGCTGGCCCGACAGGCGAGGCAACCGGCTAGTCATTTTTAAAAGAGGGACATTTACATGGTGGTCAGCCCTCCATTCCATCCCTCTGATGGCTGACTCCCTCTGAAGGCCTGTCTTCAGATCTCCAACAGAGTTCCCCCCAGAGCTAGAAGGGGCAAGGCATTGCCTGATAAAATAAGGTCTCTGAAAATGTTCCCAGAGAACATTGCAATCCAACCACATGACTTCTATGGCACCTTTCTTTTTTTCTTCACTTGAGGATGATTTTTATTTATAATTTAGAGAGAGGAAGAGAGAGAAAGAGAGAAGTAACATTAATCGGTTGCCTCCCATATGCTCCCTGACCGGGGATCAAACATGTAACCTAGATACGTGCCCTGACCAGGAATCGAACCCACAACCTTTGGTGTATGGGACGATGCTCCAACCAATCGAGCCACCTGTTTAACAGAAAGCCATCATGTGCAAGTACTGAGAACGGTAATGCTTTTGAAGCTAAAAGCTTCCCTTGCCTCTATGTCTGAGGAACTTGTCCAGTGAACTATGAACCACGAAGTTACAACAACTAGAAAGGGAGGTGCTGGGTGGGGCTGGCACCAAGGATACAGGCCCCACTCCTTTCTCCCCCTCCCTTTCTTTAACACTTCCATCTCCTCTGTATAAGGCTGAAGCTTAGCAGGTTATGGGCAAGGTGGCTAGGGTACTCTGGGCTGAAGCGCTTGGTCTGATGCAATGCTCTTCCCATGCCCCATACAGCTGCGCGTCCCAGCCTCAGAGGAGCTTGGCAGCTGTCTCCCCGGGGCAAGGGAAAGCAGCCGTATCCCACGGTGGACTCAAAGGCTCCTCATCACCAAAACAAACACACAACAGTCCCGATCGCCATGGAGAGTTCAATCCTCTTGTCTGAGATTGGCACCGACTAGAATTCCAAGAGCTCTGGCTGCGCTATCTCCTGTGAGGTCTAAATACAGCATGTTCACTTTTAACCTAAACATCCAGTCTGGACCAGCGCCCAGGGCGGACAGACCCCAAGGCCTGACCAGGAAGTCTTGATTCCTGGCTGTCCATGAATCGATGGGCACTGCAGTGCTACCTGAGATGGGATGTGCTGGTCAGTCCCATTCACAGATGCTGTTATGGCCCAACAGTAGAGGAGGCAATCAGCTTGTGTAGGGTTAACCACAATCATGATCCAGAGCAGAGAAATGCATGCTGGGGGAGAGGTGGGGAGGTAGGGAGATTGGGGAAGAAGAGAAAGAGGGAGGGAGGAAAAGGCAATAAGAACCAAAGACCTATTTCTTAGCCAGTTAAAGTCAGGGCATCTTTCTAAAATCTTTGCTCCCGGGGGAACACAACTCTCTCATTATGTGTCTCCAAGGAATTTAGGGCTTAATCTCTAGAATCAGATCAAGGTTGCCTTCTAATTATGTGACCTTGGGCAAGATAATTGACTTTTCAGTGTCTATATCTCAAAATGACCCAATGGACTACTGTGGGTGTTTGATGAAACCGTGTACATTAAGTGCCTAGCACACAGATGTTGCTCAATAAATAGCAGCTACTAGCAGTAGTCATAGAAGTAGAATAATACCAGGCATGCCTTTATTTTTTCTTCCTTGGAGAGGGCACAAGAAGAGTTGCTAAAGCCACCATAATAAGATGGAAACTCCCAATCCGAATACATTCGGGGAAAGAAAACCTGCAACTGAGAAGGCAATAAAACACACCCACACCCACACCCACACCTGTTGAAAACCTTAGACTGTCCAAATGGCAACAGCTTCCTACCCTCTCAGCAAGTCAGCCCACACGCCCCACAAGGTAAGAAACGCCCACACGCCGGTCCCCTTACCTTGGTGTTCACGCATGACTTCCCTCGCTTATACTCCTTGTGGGATCCACGCTTGTCCAGTTTGTGCCACAGCGCCTTGGCCTTCCAGGAGGTCACTTTGGACTTGAGCTTGGAATAAAAGTTCCTGTGGTCCAGGGGGTCTAGGTCCAGGTGTCGCGTGAGGATGTTGAAGGCCTGGAGGGTGCCTTTGCATGTGGAAGCCTGGACAAAGTTCTCAAAAATCTGCCCGGCCTGGCTCTGCTTCTCGTCCTCGTTTTCCCCCATGTTTCAGGAGCTGTGTGGCGCAGTGGTGTGGAGAAGATGGAGGAGGACACCATGAAGGACTCGGAGGAACGTCACACCTGCAAAGGTAGGCGGAGGCAGAGGTGAGCTCCAAGGGTGGGCAGGGATGAGTGCTGGGGGAGGAAATAAAATTCTTTTAAGGTGCTAACCAGAGTACTTCATGCGAAACATAAAAAAAAATCCATAGAAAATGTACAACCGTACCGTCTACCCTGGCAATGCTGCCTGCTGGCACCCTCTCCCCATTCCTCTCACTGGCTGACAAGAACCAGATAGCTCCGAGCTATAGCTGGCTGGTGTCAACATTACCTGGTCAATTTTACTGTGAGCCAGATGGTTCTAGAAATAGTAACTAGTCAAAGGAAAAAACAACAACAACAACAAAAAGAAAAGCACTCTAGATTTATCACCATTAAAATTCTATAATGCCTGCTGCAAATTGGTTGCCTGATACAATGTCACCTGGCCACACATTAGTACACAGCCCCCCCTAAACCCAAGCACATGCCTCCCGAGGTCCCATGACCATGTCACCTGTTGTTAGACATCAATCTTTTAGTCTCTTTCGTTGGTTACCAGAGGACAGGTCTTTCCCCGATACAGACAACAGCAACTTCTCTCTGTTCCTGGTGTCTGCTGGGCTCACAGCATCGACCGCCCTCGGAGAAGGACAGGGAGGCACGTGGGTCCCCTCCTGTGCAGAGAGGCGCCTGTGCTTTGTAAGCCTGAGCCGTGAGCTCTTTGGAACAAGTGCTCGGGCTGACGGGAGGAAAAATGCGACGGGTGTTCATTCGCGTCACAAAAATAGCTTGCCTGGGTTTTGGCCACCGTCCTTTCTCTCTGTACCACTCTAACCTCAGGCATTTCTTGGGAAAGTCATTTAAGTTTCAAAGGAACAAAAATAAGTTAGAGCCGATTTTCCAAAGCACCAGCTATTTTTCTAGAATCCAAAGCTAGTGCATGGAGATGAGCAGGGAGGAGCTGGGGCCTGCCCCACTGTCAGGAGGGCTGGAGGGGGCTGTACATGAGAGGATATGGCACACTGAGCTCCCCGAGACGGAGACCTGGCAGGGGGAAGTCAGCAAACACAGCGACAAGGCCCTCGGGCTGGGCGGCTTCCCACTCTCCAGATGGGAACACTATTATGGGTGCATTCGGATTGCAGGCTGGTTTTATAATACTAAAAGCAGGGAGAGACCCGTGTTTATCCTCTCCCTTAGTCCTTTACTCACTCATCCAGCAACAATTACTAGTGTCTTAGCAAGAGCCATGCATCACCCTAGGACAGGTGTGGGGAACATCCAGCCTGTGGGTTGTATAAAGCCATCAAAATCACTTGGTCTGGCCCTGCCAAGGCGTTAGGGGTGAGTTAATTAAATGTTTGACCAAATATAGCCGGCCAATTTTTAAATTGGTAATCTTGTATGGCCCGAGAATGATGTCATAAATAGCCAAATGGCCCTTGGCAGAAAAAAGGTTCCCCATCCCTGCCCTATGTGCTGGAAATACAGAGTGAGGGAAATAGGCACCTAAAGAGTTGATTACAAGACGATGGGCAAGTCCTTGTAGAATACGAACACAGTGCGCTCAAGCCCAGAGCAGGAGGTGGCCAGCAGAGCCAGAGATGCCCTGAGAGGGAAATGCCAAAATGCTTTCTAGTTTTCACTAGAAAACTGGGGGATGTACGTTTAGGTCCATGCAAACACTACACAAAGGTGTGCCTTTGGAAAGAGCCAGGACAGCTGCAAGAATGACTGCAAGTTCAACTCGCTAGGAGTTCAGGATGTGTGACAAGGGGTAGTAGGGATGTCCAGGGCAGATCATGGAGGAGGCTGGCTACTCCAGTGAGCCCTGGGGTACAGGACATGAGCAGTGGCTGAGAGAAGTTTTTGGGAAGATGAGCGGCCAGGGAGTGGACTGGAGAAGGAGGCAGCTAAGTGGCTGCCCAGGTGACAGTGAGGAAGGCAGGGGAGAGCAAGGAGACAGCTCACCCGTGAATCCTGTGTGGCAGCCTGGCTGAGCTCCACCTGCAGGGAGCAGCTTGCTGGGGACAGACACGCTCTCCAGACACCAGACTCCCAGATACTGACAGGGGAGGGGGCACCGGCAATAGAATAAGAGCCCGCCCTCTTTCCCCAAGAGCTCCTGCACCATACTTGCACCTTGCTTGGCTAAAGGGAGAACAGCACGTTCCCTGACCCAGGCCTCGCCAAGTTCCACTCCTCAGCCGGCCCTCCATCCTCCCTGAGAACGTACCTGGCTGCTCTGGTCCCTGCAACTCAGCAAATTCAGCGGACTTGGAAAGCTGGCTCTGAGCATGCCTGGCACTGGTACAGCGTTTTGTTCCTCACAGATGCCCTCCCCGCTTCTTTATTGTCCGAGATGCTCACTTTGGCATCACTCACATAAACGCTGCCTCCTACTGTGTTTCAACTTTCCCCCGTCCAACACTTGCCACCCAGAGAGCATAAACAGAGAGCAAGGCTCGTTTGCTTTACAGAGAGTATTAATATCCTCAGTCTTTACCTTTGGAACCACTTCTCTGTCCGGCACTGAACAAAAAAATGCAGTCGCTGACTGGCAAATAGAAAAGGACTTGGAGCCCACAGTCCTTTCTGAGGATGGGTGGGTGGTGCAGAGAAAGCCCCCGGCCCGATCCAAAGCTCAGCCTGGCCCCTCACTGCCCACATGGCCTCGCACAAGCCACGGAAGTCCTGAGCCTCAGTGGCTTCTTTTGTAAGAGACAGGTGACAGCTGCACCTTGCAGGGCTGCTGGGAAGGGCGGGATACATGAGTGACAGCAGAGCCTGGCTCCGGGAGGCACTCGGTAGGTGTGGAAATGTGTGCTGTGCCCATGACATGGGACGGGTTTGCATCCGGGAACTCACCAGTTTGAAAAATCGTTCTGTAAATCAGTTCTGCACGTAGCCAACTCCGCCTCGTCTAAAATGGTGAAGTGTTTAGAGGTATCAAGCCAGGCCTGACTGCCAGAGAATCATTTACAAACTGGAAGAACCTGTCTCCTCCCAACCCCCCGGCTGCCTCTTCTCCTCCCCACAAAAGAATAATGCACAGCTTAATCTTAGGCCTCCAGTAGACAGAGCCAAAGGTGGTGCTGAGGGCGCTGGGTGGGCGTGGGAGCTCGAGGAACCAGCTCTTATCTGGAGTGAGATAAGGGAGGTGGAGGGAGACAGCCAGACAGCAGAAGATAAGCTCTGCCTTGGACCGTACCCCACAGCCCGTACCAGGCTCAGACCTGCCTCCCTGATCTCAAGGGTCCAGCCTCAGCCTTTAAAACCAGTTAAGTCCAAGACCCTAACAATGACTAATACCCCTGTGGGTAGGCTTCTCACAGAAGAACAGCAGGATATTTAGAGTCTGGCAAACTCGGGTGTGGATCTGGTCATATGTTCTTGCTAGCCATGTGACCAGTGGCGTGTTATCTAATCTATCTCAGCCTGTGTTCTTGTGTGTAACGTAGGGATAACACTCACTCACTCACAGGGCTGTAAGGGTTACTTTAGACTATGCAGGTGAAGTATTCAGCACCTGCTGGCTACATGATAACCAGCACTCATTACTGAATAGAAGAATTTCTTACAGGCCCTAACCTTATCAAACCAAAAGAAAGAGAAAAAGGAACACAACTGATAACCACTAGGACTAGCTTCCCAGATTGAGGAATTGTATACTTTAAAACTTTAGCCCTAGCTGGTTTGGCTCAGTGGATGGAGGGTCGGCCTGCAGACTGAAGAGTCCTGGGTTTGATTCCAGTCAAAGGCACATGCCAGGGTTGTGGGCTCCGTCCCCAGTAGGGGGCGTGTCAGAGGCAGCTGATCAATGATTCTCTCTCATCATTGATGTTTCTCTTTCTCTCTCCCTTCCTCTCTGAAACAAATTCCTCTCTGAATTTATGTCTGTATAAATTCAGGCTGTGGGCTTTCAATTCAGTTCAAATCTACTTCCTATCTGTGTCTCCTTGGACACCTAACTTAACTTCTGGGTTTTAAGTTCCCCATATATACAGTGGGGAAACACAGACGAGGACGTCTGGGTCGTTACCTGAAAACATACCTGGTGCGAGGTGGTTTTATTAATGAAATAGAAAGGCTGACTTAGAAGGGCTCTGGAAGTTTGTGTCCAAGCTTCAAGCTTTTTCTTCCAGAAACTGGAGTGTCATATTTTTGGAGGTTACCCCTTTCCTTCCCCAAAAGGAGAAGGTCAAGGATGAATTAAACCAGAGGATCTTGGGAAATAGCTCTTGTTTAAAGTCTTTTTTGTCAACACCCCCCCCGCCCCAGCTGTTGCCTTTTGGGAGTCTGATATGCAATATAAATAAAACCAGCTACCCCCCAAAATATGAAAGGTTTCTGCATTTTCCTGGGAAGAAAACAAGATGTGATGCTTTAGTTTCCAAGAATAGCCTTGAAGCAATTTGGTTTTTGCCAACTGAAGTCCCTTATTTGTGGTTCTGCCTATGTGACTTCATGAGTCACAGAGCAACTCCCTTTCCCTGCCTCTGGCTGCTACAAACTAAAACTCCGTGACACACTAGTGATGGGCTTGGCTCATGGCATCTGGGAGACAAGTGCAGGTTCCTGAGCACCTCTCAAGTTAGAGAAAGAGCCTCCTGGCTGAAGAGTTACTGGTGCACTCACATTTGGGACTGTCACACCTTCTCCTTGCCTGGGCCTCAGCACCTGCCAAATGACATCAAATAGTGTGACCAGGTAGGTGGTGGGTAAACAGCGGAGCCCTATAAAAACTGAAGGAGGGCTGGAGGGACCCTGGGCAGAACCTTCCCACAAAGCAGCAATTAGGCTCAGGAGAAAAGCTCAACCCTCAACCCCACCCTCAAGGATTACAGATAAGATACGTTTCCAGGTCAATGTAATCTAAAAACTAGCCCCTCTTGCTACTGACACTAACAAACTCCCCATTCCAACATATCACCTCCCAGGTGTACCTCATCAAGAGGCCGCTGGGCAGGGCCGGTTTCCTTAGCAATGAAAGGAGGGTGCTGCCCCCCGTGTGCTCACACAGTGGCTGGAAGGACTAG